TGTGTGGTTGTATTTTCTTGATGAATTTTGAGTAGTTTTCTTTTAACTTTTTTCTTAAAATGATAAGTGATTAAGTGTTGAAAGGAGTGAAGTATTAGGCTTCAATGTTTGAAGATTATGATGATTTGAAACCTTGCACTTCATTTAAGATGTTAATATCTGTTGTGAGAACATGTAAGATCTGAGATGGTATTGTCTCCATCAACAAATGGTTAGAATCACATATTGATTTCATGGATGAGAATGTAGTTCATGGGGTTGAGTGCAAATAAATAGGGAAATAAACTTTTCAAAGGTGTAGAATTAGAGGACTTTAGAGTGACAGACAAAAGCCTCCATTTTTATTTATAGTTTTAGGTTTTAATACGAGATGTTAGCTCCTAGGTGGACAGAGAAGAGGGAACTCTAGAGTGAGAGCTAGTATCTTCCCTACCTAGCCGGTCTTCAAGACTATTCAAACTATAGATTAACTAATATTCTTTATAGCATCTCTAGTAAGGGTAAATAATATTATTGCTCCTATTTGACACAACACATTTAGAATACTTCCAGAACAGACTGATTCATGATAAGAAAAAAGGTGTTTTATTTATCTTTCCTTCATCTTGAAAGTATTTGGTTAAGTTAATTAGTTGCTTACTTTATTTTCATAAACCAAAAATTATAAAAAGAATCGAATTTGCATTCATATTTTAGCATCTTAAGTTTAAGTAAGAATATTTTGCTAAGTAAATTTTTATCATCTAAAATTTCTAAATTGCTAAAAAGCATATAGTCATTATCCCTGTGGGTTTGATATTCAGGGCTTAATCAAAAAGTCCTATTTTACTTGATAATGATACGTATACTTGCTTAGTGTCCCATATTTAAAATTATAATTGTATTCTTATTTGTTTCATAGTAGAAAACTTACCTAGCTTTTGCTTTAGATTAAGTTTTTGAATTTTTTGTAAATTAAGAATAACTATTAAGAAAATTAAGTATATAATCACATGCATCACATTTTACATTTATATCCAAAGAATTGGGATCATTCATCACCTTCAGCCTCACCCGAAAGCTGGTCACCATCATCTGACGCTTGATCCACGACCACCAGATTCATAGTTTTTTTGGTGCCAACTTCTGCTTAGAGTGAATCAATGACATGATTTTAGTAGTGAGATGGGCTACGCCAAAAAGTAAAATAAAGAGAAAATTTAGAAAAGAACGGAAATCAACTAAGCAAGACCAAAATTTCTCATGCTAAGGATTTGATCCCCCTCAAATGCAGTAAATGATACACCACCCTCACTGGTCTTCTTTTATGTCAAGGGTAGTGACAGAGGAGCATTGACAGTTCCCTATCACAGTACTAATATTTTTTTACAGGTCCGACTGGCAGGTAAAACCTCTTTCTTATAGGCATGTCCCACAGATTGACCGGCGGTAAACCCGACCAGCCTCCTTCTTCCACCAAGATATTTTCGTGTGGGGGGTCATGAAGCGAGTCCGATGACCCTACTTGAGCCTCAGGATTGAACATCGTTTACTTTCTCACTATCAATTTCTTTTTATTTTCACTCTCTGAGAGGGCTCCCCTCTCATATTTCTGAGGGCATGTCGATATGCAGCCTTGCTATAGTGTCAGACTTCATAGAAAATTCATTCATCATGGAAACACTTTGAATTTAGATGTGGCAAAGTGTGAAATGATAGAAGATAAGGAAATCCAATCCCTCATGCTCTATTTATAGAAATTGAGGGCACATTAATCCAAAAAGTTCAATTAACAAATCTTTGAATAATCATAAATGATATTTATTACTCTGCATTAAAGTCTCCTATTCTTATTGGAATAGGACTTTCAAGAATCAAGAGAATTGGATAATTAAATATGTAAAAAAAATCATGCAAGCACAAATCTTGAGAAAATCTGACAGTCCAGAAGAAATGTAATATTAAAGGGTGGACCCACCAGCAGAATATCTAGGGGACCTAGATGCTCGACCAGATGTTCCGAACCCAAAACCAACTTTTATGTGGATGAGTACGTGGCACGGCTCACCCAGATCACCCAAACGTAACACCTCATTGCAATCGAGCCTGAAGGGACAAGTACGTTAGAACTTGTGGCCATATAAAAGACGACATACAACCTTCCCCCTAACATCTCTTCGTCTAAAGGCAGGTTACCTCTCGGATTACAGTTATTCACCCTCTGCATGACATCCTAGCTTCGCTCTTTTGACTGGAGTTCTTTGTTGAGAATCAAAGGTTGAAGACCACTATACCTTCTGATCGGCAAGACTTAGCTAATCAATTTTACTAACTCCATTCTAGCAGAAGACATGTCGAACAGCAGTGTCTAAAGATTTAGCCTTTCGACAACATAAACTGAGTTGCTTACTCCCCAACTGTACACCCACAAAGACATCGATACACGCCCGACCAACAATGCCCGACAAAGTCCTACGAAGCCTAGTCGTTCGAGCCCGAGAGTAGCAGGGCCCTGTGCACTTTTACAGTCCCTAGTCAAGTAGGGACACAAATGTAACTACACCTAATGCACCCCTTTTATTTATAAATAGGGCATTATTTCATGAATAAAATATTACACAATTCCCTCATTATATTGCTAATTACTGTGCACTCTCTCTCTCTTCTCTCTTGCTCTTTTTTCTCTCTCCTATCCTACACTTTATTTCTTGTGTATGATTCACAGGACAAATTTAGATTCAACATAGTTGTTTGTTGCATGTAGCCAACTGACGCCTGCTCGTGACCTGCTATTGGTCAACATACCTCGTCAAAGGAGCATTGTTAAATGCCTAATATATGATGCACAACATCGCCACTGCACATCATTGGTTGCATCTATTGCACATTATCACTTGTTAGCCACCACTAGTTGCTCATTAGCTGCCACAACCATCCATCACCACTAGTCATTTCATTTGTGGCATATTAATTTAAACAAAAAAAAATAAATTTAAACTTTGATATGCCAAAATAATTACACTTATTTTTCAATACAACAAGTTTTTTTTTTTACAATCAAATTATGGGCCAATTACATTCAAATCACAAAATTATTATATATTGACATATCTCACACCTAAATTTTAATACTTACACACATAATACTCAAATATTTAATATCACATCACATTTAACACACTTACCACTTTTAAAAGTTGAAATATTCTTTTTATATAAAAATTTAAAACACCAAAGTGCTATGCATGTGTATGTCAAAAATGATCACCATGAATCTCCAAAAAAAAACCCAATAGACTATAAGATAAAACTACAGTCAAGGACGACTCATCAAAAGAACAAAAGTCACATTAGCAGAAGACCAAAGGATCATGTGACTAGCTACAACTCCCTCAAAGCAAGGCTAAGGGCTAACTGAACGAATGTCGTCTAAGTCAAAGATTGAGGCCTATTAAATCAAGAGAAGGAACCCATCCAGCTATAGTCCAGGCATCGCTAGACACCTTGCAAGAGTCACCAAGTTTCTTCTGGAAGTCCAAGATTCTCACCGCTGAACATTCATTGAAATGTCTAAATGGATCTCTTGTCAAAGAGGGGACTAACTATCAGATTACATTGATTCAATCTCTGCCTGACAACTCCACCTCAACAAATTGAGCTTCTTATTCAAGGCTCAATACTAGACAGTCATATCGACATAATTGACCAGCTGGTTCAACCCAACCGAGCAAAGTCTGGACGACCGAATGATCACTAGAGCCGATCGATTGTCTAAACTCAGCAGAATCGACAAAACATACTTGCCGACCCAAAGACTGCAAATCCTTGCCAACTATATGGTAGCTAAACCATAGATTCTTGTATTTTATATTTGCCTAATATATCATATAACAGCTCCATAAAAACAATAGCAGTCATGTAATTTTTTACTTTATGCCTCATTTGCTATAAATAGGTGAGTCATTTATATAGTTAATGTTAATCAGTCTTCTGTTGGAGAACTAGATTGTTACTGTGTACTCTCTCTCTCTCTTCTATTTTATGCTTTATCCATTGACTATGATTCACAGGACGGTTCCAGATTCAACATGTAGATATGAAAGTTTAGAAATGTGATATGTAAATACAAAGAAATTGTATGTTAGGTATGTAAATGTACCTAAATTTTTTTATGGGAGTTCTAACGTACACAACACTCAAAACATGTCTATTTACATATATCACACCTAAACTTAAGTATTTACATACAAAGCACCAAAACACAAGCAACACCAATAAATTCTAAAAATTCTTAAACTACTTCCCTATTAAATTTGAAAAATAAATTAGTTAGAACTTCTTGCGACCAAATTGGCTTACAATGGATGGTCACCCTCAATCCAAAAAAATTTTATGTCCAGACAACGAAAAAATTTTCTGTTCGGCTCCGGACGTAGCTCTATGTGTGAACTCCCAGTAACATACCGTCATATGTGCTATGTCGGGCTCTCCTAAAAAAATTATTAAAGTGGAACCGCAGACTCTGTAATAATCCCGAAATAACCTACGCGGTGTTATTTCGTGGTTATTGAAGTGGAATATATGAGTTTCTCTTCAATAACCCGAAATAACCCCGAAATAATCCAAAAATAATCATCGCGGTGTTATTTCAGAGTTATTGAAGTGAATTAAATGAATTTCTCTTCAATAATGCCGAAATAATCTAGAAATAAGCTTAAAATAATCTCCACGATGTTATTTCAAGGTTATTAAACTGGAATCTCGAATGTTATTTTAAAGTTATTTTTAGATTATTCTGAAATTATTGAAGTGAAATATATAAATTTTTCTTCAATAATTTCAAAATAATTTAAAAATAATATTGTCCCAAACAACAAACGAATTTAAATTATCAAAATAATCTACTTATTATTAGATTATAAATAATCAACCGCTATTTCAGATTTATCCCAAAAAAAATTAATACAATGTAACACACCACAATATAATATTAGAGTCTGCAGTGCCGTGCGTGAGTGGACAGAAAGACCCACAGAAAAAATTTTTGCCCGCACAGCACACGTCTCGAGCCCGGAAGTAATATTTGTCTCGATCTGACACCAAACGAACGAGTAGTATCGCAATTCCAAAGGCAAAGTATGCAGTGATACTGCCAGTGCAGCCGGTCGTGATTTTCATACTGGACACGGCGGCGGGAGGCGGAGGCGCCACCACCACCGTAGTCCTCTCATCTCCCATCTCTCATATCCCTAGGAAGAAAACGAGTGGCTAGGGGGTTGAGATAGAAGAACGATAGAATTAGAAAAATCTTCCACAGAATGGGTGCTATTAAATCCGCCATCTGCGACGCGGTGATCACCTTCCTCTGGGTATTCTGCGTCTCTACTATTGGTGTCCTCACCTCCATCATATCCTCCGCTCTCCAGGTCCAGGGTTTTGTACCCAAACTCCTTATCATCACTTTTCTCATAACCGTCCTTGTCTTCGTTTTCAACCTTATCGCTCACGCCCTAGGTGGTGCCAGCTTCAATCCTACAGGCATTGCTGCCTTCTACGCGGCTGGTATTGGTGGAGATTCTCTTATCTCACTGGCCGTTCGCCTCCCAGCGCAGGTCCCTCCCTTTCAACTTTCCCTTACCGGTTCAGTTCATTCTAGGGTTTTATTCTTAAGTTTCATAACCAACAGGCCGCTGGCGCGGTGGGAGCTGTGCTGTCGATAGTTGAGCTGATGCCGTCTCAGTACAAGCACATGCTCGGCGGGCCGTCGGTCAAAGTAGACCTGCACACTGCGGCCATGGCAGAAGGGATACTGACATTCCTCATCAGCTTTGCTGTGTTGCTGATAGTTATTAAGGGTCCACGAAACGCTATCTTCAAATCCTTGCTTCTGGCTGTCACCACTGTGACCTTGGTCGTTAGTGGCTCTGGGTATACTGGACCAGCCATGAATCCCGCTAATGTGAGTTGCGTAGGTCACAATTCTGATTCAGACTTGATGTTTAATTTCTTACTTGTGATCATTGTTTTCTGATTCATTGCTTTGGAGAGATTTTTTGATACAGGGATACAAATATGTGCCGCTGAAGAGCAAACCATCATCTACTCTTTATGCAATTTTCTGTATTTGATTGAATTGAATTCATATTTGGTTATATAATTAAATTTCTAGATGTAGAAAACAATTCTATAGAGAAAAAGCAATGTAGAAGGCATTTTATGTTGCAGGACCATTTACATTATCCTTGGATGATAAAAGCATGGTATGCGAGGTTGCATTTACTTGAAAGCAAAGTTCATTCCAATGAATTATATCTTATAAATTAATTTATGGCTTGAAGTACCAAGGGGTGACTAACACTGTTTCCTAGATATCTTGTTCCTTGAATGTTTTTTCTATCAGTCTACTTATTTATTTGCCTGGATGAGTAGAGAAATTATTTTGAGGTTACTAGAAGAGATTAAAAATTGTTATTAACTTTTACAAATTAATCAATTAAAGATATAATCAATGCTTTTTTTAATGCTTTTATTAAACATCAGATTCCCTTATTTTCTATGTTTCTAGCGGTATCACAGAATTTCAGAATATTTCTATCCTCATTGTAATACTCATTAAGGTGCTTGCAATTAAGTGGCATATAAGTCGATTGAGAGTACTACCCTTATGATCTTGTTTCTCTTGGCTTGCAATTCATGTTAAAAAATTAAGACTAACAATAACCCCTTTGAAGGCTACCTATTTACTTTATGTTTGTTGGATTCTTTCCTTTATAAGCTTCCTCACCATATTCAAAGGAATTTTGATTTAAATTTATAAATTATATTATGAAAATCAAGCTACTTGAAAATATGTTGATAATCTACTTTTTGTTAGAACCACTTAAAATAGCTCCTAGAAGGTGCAGTGAGAAGGCACCTAGTTAATCATCAAAAATACCTCTCAATTCTCTTATGATTAAAAAAATGTATTGAGTTAGGACATTCATGTTGTTTTGGAGTATGTTACAGCACCAAAAAACTTTTTATTAAACAAATAATGTTGCATTTGCTAAGCATCTATACCATAGGGGAAGCCAAATAGCTCTATTTACTTTATTCATTGTAACTTTTTATAAACTTCTCAATCTGCTTTATCAACAACCCAACCATGAGATCCTTTTTAATTTTCTCTTTTGTATTATTCTTAATATTCTATTTTTTTAAATTTTGATATATAATTCTAATGATTTTTATTATAATGGCATATTTGATATGTGTCTGTAACATATATTTTAAATAGTAGACATGTCTGGCGTACTTGTCTCCGTGTTTGTATCCGTGCAACATAGTTGTTCTGATATGAACTCTCAAATAATTATTTCTTGAAGGATTAGGGGAGTGTTGTTGGTGTCAAAGAATAAACCGTGGTGGAACAAGATCAATTTATTCTCAAAGTTCACTTGGAAATATCATAAATCATATTCTGATTGTCATTGAGGTAATTGATAGTCATCTTGAGGGAATTGTGAAGTTGTAGCTTAACACTATGCGGAGATTGAATAAGGAATTATGCATGAACATTTATCATGAATCATCATTAATGTGGGAAAGGATCTCAATGGTATTTTGACTGTTACAATAGTGATAGGATATAAAATCAATTTATAAGAGTGAATCAACATGCAATAGTATAGGTATTTAGGAGTAACTTCTATAAACATCAAGATGTTATGGAATAATACCAATAGAAGAATGAATTTGGTCATCCTCATATATTATGCCCTTGTATTTAAATACTTATTTTTACTATGATGGTGACAACAATGGAAAAAAAGCCAACTTGCGATTGAGTTGGCAATAGTACTATAATCGAAGGAATTGTCTACATCTCCATTTGTAAAGATTAGGGAGCAGTTACAATGATTGAAAGGCTCTCTAAATTGTAATGCAAGATCATCTCTAAAAAATCTCCTTCTCAAGCTCTAATTCGAATTCAACATCACATATTCAGGCCTGGGTTCCATAGTCCTATGCAGGTCATGTACATAGATGTCTGGTGGGTGTGATGAGGCTAATTAAGCATTGAGGTTGGATTAGATGGACGAATAAGATCAGTTCTTCAATTCACCGTTTTAGTGTACTCTTTTTAACACATTTTTCACGAGTCCTAAGCTAATTTGATATTTGATGAAATCTAAATGAGCTTGATCAAGGTGAGTTGTGATAGTATAATAATGTTTTCATTAGAAATACATTATGTTAGATAATGATATGAAAAATTAATGCGGTTGTATCATGATGAGAATAAGATGAAATTGAATGTTGATACCTCTTATCAATATGATGTTCATCTTAAGAATCATGCTAAGGGAAAAAAGTACTTGTGTGAATACTAAGATTTCTTATGTTCATGCTAAGGATTATGAATGGCATTATAATACTTAAATGAATATAAGGTGGTTGATATTTATCTTGGGAATCAAAATCATTGCGATAACTACTTTTAAAATTATTATAATAATATGAAATTATTATGATATTATAATCAAGATATTTTGTCTTAGAATAATTGAAATTTTGGTTGATAATTGGGAGGGGGTTAATATGTCTAGTGTTGGTTAGATTGTCAGTTGAAACCATCAACTCGAAAGGAAATTTGAGGTATTTTTCATCAGAACTATCAAAGTGATGGACATAATAATTTGAGGATTGACTAATGAACACACAAAATTGTAAATTTTCTAAATTTGATGAAATATAAGAGATAGATTTAAAATTAAAAGTGTTTCAAAAGGTACAAAATCCCAATATGTTAAGGTTTATTTGTTTACTTTTAATGGATCCTCAATGGGCATTTGGTGAATCTTTGACTCTAATGTGGGAACATTCTACTTTGATACCGAGCAATGGTGATATGGTACTATGATATTAATTATTAGGATGATTTCTGTGGTTGAATGGTATTGGTGCCAAATTTTGTGGACGTTGAAGCAATGCACTCTTCTTTGGAACAAAGAGCGCATCTTTGCTTAGACGTATTGAATAATTCTTGCACCTTTATGGTGATTGACCAAATAAAACCGTTGATGACATGGTAGGTTATTGTGTCATATATTAGCTAAAATAATCATTTTAGACATTATTATCTTATTAGGTGTCTTAGACAGTCTTGATAAAGCTCAAGTTGTTATCAATTGGTAATACCCAAATCATTTTTGTTTGTTGGCATTTGTAGTTTATTTGACCTTGACACTTTCTTCGACAATTTATTAATGGCTTCAGTGCAATCATACATTTCATTTGATGATTCTTTTGAAGAAAATATTTTTCTAATGGCTATAATTCACCAATCGAGCCTCTAACTTTTTAAAGAATGACTAATACTCTGATTCTTTGCCTTCCTTTAGTTGTATCTTTGAGTTTCTTATGGTTATTTAAGTAGTGGATTTGGAATATGCTTTCATTTAAGCATGTTCTATGGCCTTTTATACCTAAATGTCTCTTAAGTGTTTGATGTTGTCATTTAAGCCATTTGACATTGACCACACCACCCATTGCTGCATCAGTTTGTCCTCTATAACCATGAGGCCTTTAATTCTTCTGTTCCTTTGGAAACCTAAATTTTTGACACATTAAAGGGGAAGGTTTTCTTCATGAATACATTTTTGTTCTATGCTATCTTACCAACACTGACAATAAAGCCATCTACTCACTTAACTAAGTTCACTCAGTCTTGATTATTGTTATAGTATTTGTGCTTAGTTTAAATTGGTTGAAAGATGCGTATATGCTATGGATTGTTTGAACTGTATCATTAGATTAATGCTAAAATTGCAAATCAGGAACCTATAAATTCACGCGAAAGAGGAAAATCATGATTCCCATAGATTTATGGTATGGAAAGAAATCCAAAATTTGTTTTTTAGAAAGTGTTTTTATTTGTGAAGCTTTAATTGTTTTTTTATGTCATTTTTTGAGTAGTTTATATTTTACCTCATATCAAATATGCTGTGGAATAAGAGGGAATATTCTCCCACCACTGTGCTCTCCACATGATATTAAAGCCCCCAATTTCTTTCTAGATTTCCTATTTGTCTAGCTTTTCATCTTCTAGTAATTTTTGGTCTTATTGTCATCTCTCTATGCTTGCCATTGAAAATCTCTAAACCTCATTTTAGCTCCATGTCATTACACCCTTGCTCACCATCATCGGTGATGCCAATCCTCACTAAGTAGTGACAATGCTATGCTTGGATGATTCTATCAAGAACTAGTTTTATGATTTCTTTGTCTCTTATATATTCCAATGAAGAATTCAATTTGTGACCTAACTTCTATTGCGACTTTAAGGTCAATGTTGTCTATTATACATCACTAATGTCAAACCTTAACCTCTACTTTTTTCTTCTACTTGATGTTGACCTTTGCAAAATTTGACATCCCTTTCTTTGACTCCAATCATTTTTGACATCAGTTATGTTTGTTATTGATAAAACTGTAGGCTCAGTTGTCTTGCGGCTCTACTATAGTGTTGGCAACTTAAAACATAATTGGGGTGAATTTGTTGTTTCTTTGTTTTCGTGTCGGACAATACTATCTTTATGAAAGTACTCTTCATACAAGCTTATTTTTGATTGAGTGGTTATCTTAGCTGTCACCATTTCTTCTTGCAATTATTGATATTGTTTAGGTTACATTTTAGATTCACTCATTTTTAGGATGAACTTGTAGGGGATGGTAGTTTGGGCGAGCAGTCTTCGGTTGTGGAACTTATATTGTGTATGTTTAGTAGGACACAACCCTTGCCTCTTTACTAGATCTCGCAGCTTGAAGCAGTTATTAGATATTCTTATTTTACTTTTGTATTTTTTCGTGTTTACATGCATATTGGTGAGTTCAAGCAATTCAACTAAGTTTGTAGGCCTCTGCATGCAGAGAGCATAATGAAAAAGTCCCTCATAAAAGCTTAACTAGCTCCAG